TATTGGGTTGCATAGCTCGAAGTTTCTACACACATCTAATTTCTCATAGGTTGTTGATAAGAAACGAAAGAGTTTGAGATTTATTACCAGTTCATCTTCAGTCTACATGCGAGAGCAGAAAAGAACTACAAACAGGAACCGAAGGTCGCCCCGCATCTGCCTTCAGAAGAACCTTAGAACTAAACAATGCATACGATTGCGACTAACGTTTTAATTTTTTTTACCATTGAGTCCTGTCCTTGCAATAACTGGTGTTCTTTATTTCGGCCTGGCTCGGAAAAACCAAGTTCCCCATACTTTTTGAATCGGCAAATTGGTACAAACCTTGTCTGGGACGATAGAAACACTAACCTATATGATGCTTAATGAGGCCGAATGTGTCGCCGGTCCCCAGGGCATTCATTAATGCTGAATGCTTCCACTATTATACTTCCATCTCTCTTCATCAGGATGGTGGTTCACGAGCTCGTCACCTAATGAGCTGTCTTCACCAGTTTGCTAAGTTTCGTGTTTTGTAAAATTCACAGTTCTGCGAAAGACGTGTTGAAGTCAGCTGAGTTGTGGCTGTTAGCCTTGGAGAACCGGCGCAGCCACGAACGACTGAGGGAGCTGAGCGACGAAAAACGGCAGCCATTTCTCATCCGCGTCGGAATTCGTCTCTTTGCCACGGTTTCCACATTTTTTCCCGTCTGACTTTTCCGTCCATTTTCACTAATTTGCAATAATTAGTCGTCCATTGTCGATTTTCATCTGAAAACACTTGGATGCCGTTCAGTCGCTGCCCATTATTTTGTAGGTTCAACGAAAGGTGTACTGAGTGAGAGTTTAGTTCGTTCTGTGGAAGTGAATGCAGTTATGTTTTTAACTGATTCTCTCTATTCTCTAAAGTAGAAGTTTTGCTACACGTTTTAAACAATATCATGACACTTTTGTAATCGATATTCATTCATGTAATCTCACATATCGTTTGAATCTAAGTTTTTCTGAATATCGTCAGCATTTGGTAGAATGTTCTGCCTAAAAATAGGATGCAGAATATCTATGATAGGATATCACCCACCAGAAAAGTGGACAACTTCCTCATTTCTCTGACTTTTCATTCTTCGACTTACTTTGTAAGTTGTCATTACTTTCTGGATAGAAAATGTTTATGTCCACACAGTCTGTTCTCGTACTCAGTGATTCTTAGAATGATAGCAAACAGGATGGCTCATGTTTTTCAACGATTTTGATCGCTACCGAGTGACTCTAAAGGAAAACAACTGTTTAGATATCTCATTTTTGCTGACTTAAAAGTAAATATACATTTACTGATTTTTCCTGTGGAAGTTGAACTATAATGTATCGGATTTTGGGGAATTGTTCTCCGATGAGGTTGCTAAGGCTAGAAAGGAATTCTTATACATTTCGATGAACATTTTCTGTGAAGCACAGCGAAGAATAAAATCTATGCCAGGAATTGCGGAAATCCGACAAGAAACCAAGTCGCAAAGTAGGGAGCCAAAAAGAGTAGTCGACTTTTTGTGGTGACAATCCCTGGACTTCCTAATTTGACTATCCTGGGAGTCCAGGAAAGAAAATAAAACCTTATTGGCCAAAAATAAACCAGCTTTTGTGCTTCGCGCGATAGGTATTTCCGTCTACAACGTCAGTAGGACACGTTATTTGTTTCAGACCCAAACTTTGCCCTTGAACTCGGAAGTGGAGCTCTCGAACATAGAGCTTCATGGTATCATTCATTTGGAAATCGGTTTATATCTTCATCAACAAAAAGATCTCTTCAATCGAGATGTGCGAATCGCACCTCAACCTCTGCAAAGAACTTACTAAAGGAAATAAAAGGACTCAAACTTGGTCTGGATTCAACGCATTCCACATGGCAAGAAATATATACGGCCTGTAAAAGATTCTTAACAGGTGAACCGATCGTATATTTGAGGTTATGGCCAAATTTGTTCGTTTATTGTCTTATCCTGACTTCCATGATGAATATGCAGTCACGTGCAGCAATTATTTTAAATGGAATCCAATCAGTTGAGCAAACATGATCCCGACAAAACTTTTTGTCGCCGCATGTGCCACATTTATCCCGCAGGTTTCGTCACAAGAACTTGCCAGATGTGCCATTTGTTCTCTTGTCTGGTTATTTTTGACATCGAAAATGTCTCTGATAGCTTCAAAATGAATGCACTTCTGTTAACAAGTGGTGGACAAATCCTACATAAGAAATTCAACTGACTGCTATCGCAGCTATGACACACGACAGAAATGCGAGTTACGTTGAATCCATACCACTACCGCCACCACTAAACGAAAACGGAAAAGGATCTGGTTGGAGGACACCATCTTGAAGAGCGCCTTTATCGTCGTGTCAAATTGGGCAATGCGGCTGTTCGATTAAAGCGCAATTGATTTGATGAGAATTCGAACAACCCCTTCTCCTAGTTGACGACATCGTTGTTTTTCAAATGAGCACCATTAGAGATACTTGTCAAGAAACTCATCGAAAATGGAAAGAGGTTAGAACTGCGCATAGAAGAAGAAAATTTAATTAATAGAAAATTCGTGGTTCAATGCAGAACAAATTGGATTGTGTAGTTCTTTTACAATACGAGTCACTTTGTCTAGTGTTCAATGAACAGTAAAAGTGACGTGAGAGAAGAATTGTACAGAAGATGGAGAGGCGCTAGAGTCCCGTTGCGCCATTAGGGAAATCACCGAACAATCAACGGACCAAAATTTCCGCGCTCACATGCTGGACTTAACATTTCCTGGGCGCCTTCCTGTACGGCTGAGGTATGGTGTTATGTCCTAAAAGTGTCTGGAATCTCGCCCATCATCCACGAAGCATTAAGCAATTTCTTCTGGCAAATCGTTCCCCTTAACACATGGTCTTGCTCAAATATATACGGTTGAGACGTCTGGTAAATATTCGTTTTTGGGATAGAATGGAATATACATCGAAAACGAAGCACAATGACTATTAATTTGGTGAGTGAAAGTGGACGAGATGGGTAGCATGACCACCAAGTGGATAATTCCATTCCTTTAGGGGATCCAAATACAAGATAGGTGTATATGATTACACTTCACGTTAACCTGTTGTAGTAGCAGCTAAATACAATTTTTGGATCAGTGGGTTGTATTTGATGACGTTATCCCAATGGAATAAATAAATTACACCAACGATAGCCAATTTGGAGTGAAAAGACTAGAAAATGTGCTTTAGCCCGCCCGAACCAATTATGAGGACAAGTGTTGTGCTATCAGTTGCCACAGTCTCGTCATTGTCTCACATTGTACACTTTCATCTGATACTATGGTAGAGTCTTTTAAAGTTCATATACATGATTACGTCAATATGAATCACCTTCGTCAATTGATATTTGTTCACGATTCACTTAAGGCACTTACGTGAAGTGACACTTTCGCGCACTTGTCCCCAGTCTCCATGGGCTGATTGCCTGATCAAGTTCCATTCTTCAAGGTATATTCCATTCGTAAAGGACTGGTTCGTTTTAGTGGTTTACCAAAAGTTTGATGAAAGACAGCTGTCCATTGGCTGGTTTCTCCAAATAGGCAGAATAACAACTATGATGTTCCGTTTGTGTGAAATTAACCAAGGTCTGAAGAATGCACTTGCTCTTTCATCGGTTTGTTATGATTCATGGTTTAGCGTTTATGAGATATTTACACTTGCATTAATTCTATTAAGGACAACTTTTTCAAAAATGGCTTTTCAATGAGCATTCTTTCGGAGTCTGGCGACCATTCACTCATAACGTTATCTACTTGTCAGTACAGTCATGCGATTTCTTATTTGATTTGCAGTATCACTACACTCATTGGTTCTTATTTCTCAAAAGAAAGTTTCGCAGTACAAGTAAAAAGTAGCGAAATAAACAATGCAGTGAGCAGTATAGATAGAATAGGAAAGGTAGAAAAACTAGCTGAGAGACAGGTGAAACGAACGACCCACAGGGTGTGGTGGTGAACGCGTTAGCCCCCGAGGAAAGGGTAGTAGTGCGTTCGTTCCCCACCGCGGACACCTGCGGTCCGGCGTTTAGCAAATATCTCAGCATCGTTGTGAATGGAGTAAAAAATAGTTGTTATCTCTTACATATTCACCTCTCTGTTCATCCGCTTTGAACACAAAAGTTGCGTTTGTAACTGTGTATTGAATGACAGGTAGGATGGAGAAAGAGGGATCGTTCAAATAGACGCTGTAAACATCGGCAGTAAAGTTATATGTTCCACAAGTGTTTGATTTTCTGTTTTTCTTAGGGCTTGTGGAACGCAGTGGTCTGCAGTACACATGGGATCTTGAGTATTTTCTGAGACCTACTTTCTATTAACCTCAACATTGATAGATAATTCGTTATTTTCTTGATTAGCACAGACGACTTTGTTATTGTATACCATTCATTCGTAGTAGCTGACGTTTCGGCGGATTTCTTCAGATCATGGAAAGGTCAAGTTAACTGCAATTTTGTCAGCCGAACACCTCCATTACTGCAACAAAAAACACTACGATACCTAATATTTCGTTGTATTAGAACTAGCACAAAGAACACATAAGATCGTTGATTCGATCCTATCCTATCTATTAGCCAAATCCTTATGTGTTCTGGATATGCCATTTGGTACCAGAGAATGAAAACAGTGACTTGATACATCGGTAAGCCACCGCAAGGCATTCACTGTATAGGCCACATATGAATTCTCTCATTTCTACAACACGTGTAGCTGAATCCATGACACATCCTGAAAGGATAAATATATCCCGTGAGCGTTATCTTGTCCATCCTCTACTTTTCTATTTGACTACCTCTTACTTTTCTCACTATACAAGACACTGGTCTACTTTTTGTTTTCCTTTCGTCTCACGAATATTCTGTCGTCATTCTTTTCACACTTGACAGGCTGTGGATTTGAGGTGTAGGAACGTGTTCTCGCCGAGTATTTTTGTGTGAGCGGCTAGCTGTTGTGCTTTCGGTCAAATGTTCGTTCTTGCAGGCTGTCAATGGAGTAGCGGTAATGTTGAACGAGCAGCAATTTTGGAATCATCCGCTGGGAACATGGCTCAAGTTCGTTCTCTTCAGTTCTCATTTAGTACTGTTGTCATTATGGATTATGCCGACTGCGTTCGTTCTGGTGGAACAGAATATTCTTCGACTTCTGAGAAAGACAATTTATCAATAGGGTCTACTAATCCGTAGTCATCTATGACTTTGAAGTCTTTGGAAAATTTAGACAACAAATTTAGGCAGGTGTTTAGTTAAGGATCACTTCTTGCTAGTGAATGTGCATGACTATTGATAATCGTGTCCAACGTCCTAGAGATTTTCAAAAATAGCATTGATATGTATGTATTTATCTTCAAAACTACTCATCGAATTAACCGTCCTATCTGTAGCATTGGATATTCAGTCAAATCTAGTTTTCCAATGTTTACGAGTTGTTAAAAAATTGCTGAAGAGTGGTGGAGTCATTGTTTGTTCACAAAATGAACGAACTGGAAATATTTCTGGTATACATTCCTCTTCTTTTCATTCTTCTTTTGTATACTCTGTGGTTCCACTATGTTATCTTCAAATTAAAAGATCGCATATGGCGCAGTGGTCGGAAGCGTCCTGCAACACACGTGGAATCGATCCCCGCGCCCATGGCCCACTAAGCCTTCCATCCCTCAGAGGTCGAAAAATTGTACCAGACATGTCTGAGAGGATAGCAACACTGGCTTGATACATCGGTAGGCCACCGCGAGTCATTGTAAAGGCCAGATATGCATTCACTCACCTCCAACAATGCTTAATGAAGTCGAATGCATGGCGCATTCCTCAAGGATTGATCAACGCCGAGAGCTTTTAGAGCTTTAATCTTCAAATCGTGTTCAGTTAAAAATGTAGAGAAGTGGCGTACAACTCTGCAGGTCAAAGTAACGTTCGAAAAATATGGAAAAATTTTATTTCATTTGTTTTTACATGACCTCTTGTCCTATCTACTGTGTCCATCCCAGCATTTCTTGCATTCGATCCATTTTCCTCGCATTCATGGTCCACAATGGTCTTGGAACATTTCGCATTGTTGCTTCCGGTACTGCTTGAGGATATCATCTTTTTTGAGAATGTCATAGAGTACTGGCTGAGTCAGTTTTCCTTGAAATCTTGGAGATAGCCGAGTTAAAACATTCCCGTGTGAATTGGAGGAGAGCGTTGAGAAAGGATTCGAACCAGCATCTTGCTTCCTGATGAACTGCACCATTAGCCGCTGCGATACTCACTCTCTTTACGAAAAAAACAGAGGACTTAGAAATATTGCTTTGCAGTGATTTGGCACTTGGACACGCGCCAGTAGTAGAGGAGAAGAGGTGGCGTTTACCGTGTCGAACCAATCTGCCTTTACAGTATGGCGAGCTGTGCGATGGTGTACTTCTCAGCGTGATTTTTCATCAAATGTAAGTCCGTATCTATCAAATTATTGGAAGCTTTGTGTTTTTTCACGATTTTAGCACTTTACTACGAACTGGTAGTTCTCCTCTTCTTATGTGATGCTGAAATAGCTGTCTTTCTACCAAAATAAATCCGTAGATTTATGGTGTTCTTTCAAATAGCACGTCTTACGCCTTCTATTCTCATTTTCATAGCAAGTAAGAATCTCTATATATGTGGGGTATTGCTTCCATCTTTGCAGCTCCTATGCAGCTCCTATCTGTAAAGTCAAGTTCCTTTTTTGTATTTGAGAGCTTTCTTAAGTGAATTCCTTATGTCAGAAAAATGTAGTTTCTGGACAGAGTTCGCAGCAGCTTCTAGGATTGGATGATGCCGCCAAAACAGTGGTGATTGTATAATCTACTTGATGTGGCCTTTCAGGGGTTTAGCGCATCATTGCTGTGGAGGGATCATATGTGTTGATTTATGACGTAGAAGAGTAAGTCTTTCTAACAGAGCGATCACTTTCCATGCTGAGTAGTTCAACATCTGCATCCAGAGATGATCAAGACTAAAACCTATCTCACGCCACGGTTCGACTGTCACTTTGTGATAGTGCTTTTGCTGAAATAAGTATTAGAGGTGGCGTACCAAATCTGTAGCAGTTTCGCATCCATCGAGGAAGCACTGTCCACTGAGCTTCTCTGGAAGGGCGAAAGGGAATGAGTGGGTGCTTTAAGAGCATCCGCTCGAGTTTCTCGATTATTAATGAGATTAGAGGTGACAGGTGACATATGTCTGCCAGTGAAATTTATTCCGCCCTTATTAAACTGCAACTGTTAGGAGATAGATAGACATATGGTCGGCTAATGTTCAACTGTGAGCTGTAGAGTTGTCCTTGTCTTTTCGCATTGGCTATTGGAAAGTAAAAAACGCTTTCGAAAGTTGTTATGAATGCACATATTTTGCTTTCTATTGACATTCGATTTCTTCTGACACAGTTCTGTCCGTGGATGATATTCACGACGGTTTGAATTAGCATATATATGAAGAACGCAGTGTCGATCTGTCATGGCATTAGATTTCCGAAGTCTCCTTGCATATTTGCTAGCACTTATCGGCTAACTCAAATTGAGGGTGTCAAGATTCACATTGTTTAACTTTTTACTTACCTCCTGTTATTTTCTCTGGTATTATGTGAAGTACAAACACAGTGGTGTTGAGATATTTGCAAAACTTGGACCTCATGCCAGATTCGAACCTGCGACTATCCTTTCCGGCGGCTCATGTGTTATCCACTCCACCACTGAGCCCCTAAGTTTGCCTTTCGCTCAGTCAGTTTTCTACCCTAACGGTGCCATCAGCAATCCTAGGATACTACTTTGAAATAATGATTAATTGACACTTTCTTAGATTACTGAGTTATCACCAGGTTGTCGTAAAAGTTTTCTGCACCTTCGCCTTTGCCTTATTCAGAGCCGTTGCGTCGGTCTGGGTCGATGGTCCTTGGTCGTCATCCTCACGAGTCGTTTAAAAATAATTAATGTTTAAGAAAGGAAGTGGCGAATATTTCTTATACTATAGATGGACTTTCCATTATCTGGTTTGAAAAGGTCTTATTACTTGGATATTTGAACGACCCGTCTTCACTGGTTGTGCGGGCCCCAGCATAATTTCTATTTTTTGGAGTTCTTCTGGTTTAACCATTGTGATTTCCTGGATTCCCAAAGTCGGTCTGGCCAAAGTCTGTCCCAGGTCTTTACTACCACAGTTGTAGCCGGCTTTTGTGGATCAGAGGGAGGTTAGCCACCATGTGACTAGTTTCATACCAGGACGGTGGTGCATTCTGGTGCTGGTTTACTTTTAGCTGGGTTTCCTTATGGAAACGCCGGACTCGTTCTCAGCTTGGGAGACTCTGCTGGTGGGACGAATCTCCCCGCTATACATAGCAGTCCGACACCCAAGAATACCTCTCAGCTACGATGACGCGGTAAACCATTGTGAGGAAGGTCTTATTATATTTGAGAATTTGTAATAAGTGTTTTCTCAGTGTGTTCTGCTTTATAAGTAGTTGGACGCGGAAGAATAAAAAAATTTGAAGAGTTTGAGCAGCAGATGCCTCTTTTTGTAAGTGTTCGTTCGAAGTTCGTTCCCTCTTGACACCAGCGTGGAAGCGGTAGGTGGTTTGATTTTGATTAGTAAGGCAACAGGATCCATCATTTTACTGGATCGCGAAAGTCTTTTTTGTATCATTTTACTCCTTCCTTTAACGAGGTGTTCATATTTCATGTAATTAGAAACCAAAGAAAAGTAAGCCGTTTTACCCATTTCTCCATGAAGCGCCGCATTTAGAGTTGTAACAAAATGTCTTCAATTTTTGTGTATTATCTGTTGCAGTGGGCGCCTGTGGCGCAGTGGTTAGAGGTGCCACTGCGACACACATGAAATCGAACCCTACGCCCGTGGCCCACCAAGTCTTCCATCCATGAGGGGTCGGCAAATTGGTACCAGACTTGTCTGGGAGGATAGCAGCACTGGCTGAATACATCAATAGGCCACTGCGAGTCATTGTAAAGGCCAGATATGCATTCAATCACCTCCAAACGATGCTTAATGAAGTCGAATGCATGGCACATCCCTCAGGGATTGTAGAACGCCGAGAGCTTTATCCTTTATCCTTTATTTGCTGTAGGCTTACCGCTTCGTTTCTTAGAGGTGTTCCTAGGTGTTGAACTCTGAGAAGAAGTGGAGGTTCATCGTAAGGTTAGCGGCATTACAAAGATTACGGATGACAAGTGATGTTTATTGTGTTACTTAGCCAGAACTGTTTTAATTCTCAGTGTTTCTCGTCATTCTCATACATTTCCGAAAGGTTTTTTCTTTCACCACTTTCTGTACCCCACTGAGAACTTTATGTAGTTTGACGTTACCTATCGCTACATTCTGCTGTTTTTTGTTGGGAGGAAAGTTATGCTAAATTATTTCCTATTTGTTATCGTGCATCGTATCGACGTAATCGACTAGGTATTAGTGAATAGAATGAAGAGTTGAATTCAATTTATCTACTGTCGAAGTGCCACCGAAACACTGCGGGATCGAGGATCGCTCTAGCTTTGTTTCAGCTAGTTGATAATGGTGATGGTAACTGTGCATTCATAGCGACGATGGTGAATAGTCCATAGCTCAAGAACAACTGGAGTAATCCTTTTGGAACCGCTCACAGGATCACTGTAACTCTTGTGGTCGGCGTGTATACGTGCAGGATTGCAATGATTGGCTTTTTCTCGTCCAGCTGCTCACTTCCCTTGATTTTGTCCGGTCATCCGTCGTCCTCCTATTGACAATTCGCATCAGCTAATTGCCTATTATGGAGGTTCAAGGCTGGACAAATTTATTCGCTCGCCACGCCGCTTTCTGCTCTTTTCCGTACAAAGCGAATCACTCTGCTGTTATTTGATCACGCTTTTATGGTATCATATTCAAATTTGTGTCTTTCCCTAACAATTCAAGTCGATGGAGTTGAGAGGAATCTCCTCATGTTGTTTGAAATGTTAATCGACAGCTACCTCTCCGCTTTCCCACTAGGTTTTGATAGGCGCTGATCGATAGAACTATTTGAGAGACGGGCGAAACGAAGGACCCGCATGGTGTGGTAGTGAACGCATTACTCCCCGGGAAGGGTAGTAGCGCGTTCGTTCCCCATCGCAGACACCTGGGGTCCGAAGTTTTGCAAATATCTCAGAAGCACTGTTGTAAAGTTTTGATGGTCGGTAGAAAACTTTTCACTA